AGACGAATATTCCAACCAAGGAAACTGACTGTACCAACGCTCTTGAAATTGACGTTTTTGATTTCCACATTCTTTGCTCTAATACTCTAAAACTTTTGGTTGATAAGGTCTAGCATTTAGATAGACCCGCCTAATTTGATCGTGTTCATTAAATGGATGTTCACATATTTACTTTCTTTTTACTGGGTCCCGTTCAATAGAATCAAATGGTTCCAAATTAAGATTAGAAGATGAAGGCCGTTCAACTTTAGGAGATGAAATTGGAGTGAACGTCGTAGGAATTGGAGTACCCTCATGTTTGTTGTTTTTTGAAAAGAAAGATAACAAAACTCTTCTTTTTTTGGAAGAAGGTCTATATTCTTCCATATTAAACCTAAAAGCATAAANGAGTATCCTGATATTTTTTACTCTTTGAAAAGAAAGATTACAATGTTCTTCCTTTCTTGGAAGAAGGTCTATTTTCTTCCATATTAAACCTAAAAGCATAAAAATCAAAATACTTCAATATCCTATAAATTTCTATCATATGTGTTAAGTACAAAGTACTAATTTTCAAAATTTAACATGGCTAAATTCTCAAAGCTAATATTTCCTAAATTTCTAAATACCTGAACGCACCTGAACTAACATTCAAAATTCTCAAAGCTAACATTTTCCAAATTTTTGTCCTTAATATAATTCTAAAATTCATATCATATTTATTAAGCAGAGCTGTACAGAGCACTCATTTTCAAATAATCCCATTACGAAATAAATATGGGAGAACTTTAAAATTGGCCATGGTCAACTAGCCTTTTTATAAAAAACGTAAAAGGTCAATTTTAACCTTAATGAAATGGATTTTCTTATTGCAAAACATATCCTTTATTTATTAATAGTTTTAAAAACTAGTTTTAATATTTCTTTATTCGTCTTCACTAGATATCTCTTCTGATTTTTCTTCAAAAAGATCTTCATCAGCTTCTATTTCTTCAATGTTAATTTCTTCACATTCATCCCTAATTTTTTCAAACTCTGTAATTAGTATTCTAACTTTCTTTTTTGAACATTCATTACTTATATGTCATTCTTCATTACAATTCCAACATTTACATCGTTTTTTATCTAATGGTTTTTTATTATAAGGTTTATATTTTCTTCTAAAATATTTTCTTTTTGGTTTAAAATATTTCTTTTTAAACTTATTATATTTTTTATATTTCTTA